TAAATTCTGTCATATATTAACTATTTTTTAATTATATTATATATATATATATATATATATATATATATATATATATATATATATATATATATATATATATATATATATATTTCATTTTAAGCTAAAATAAAACTTTCAAACATGTTTACATGAGCATACCACATACTGAATGTGCTATTTTGTGTATGTAGCAGGTGCCAGCTAGTGAAATGCTAGGAGTTGCTGAGGTTATATTGGTGCCAAGACCTGGATAGGAGTGAGGTTTAGGGGGGGTGAGTGTAGCAGAGGCCAGCTAGTCAAAATAATGTGCAGGTAAACCTCACTTCTCTGACCTCTAAAGGTGCTCTAGTGACAGATGCTAGAGGCCATGGTGTTTAGCCTCCTTGCTAGAGCAACTGACTCCCATGCGGAAGGTGTCTGGTTTATCACAGCTCAGATTGAAATACATGGTTACATACTCTGTTACATGTACATGTGGTTCAGCTGTTTTCCCATGAAATATTTGTACAAACGGTTTTAGAGAATGATGCTTTAAAAAACAATCATACGCACACAATTATATACTTCATGCTCAGTGTTTTTTTTTTTTTTCAAAAAATCTACTTTTTTGCTTTTTAGAAGTATTCTCAATTAATGTAGTATAAAGCTCAAGCAATTACACAAACAGATCTGTCATCTCAAATGTGTCTCCAGCCAAATGGTCCAAAATCAAGTCTGACAGAAGCACAAGCTCTGTGGTTTAATGCAGAATGGCCAGCTCACAAGAGTTTTTTGACCAGAGATGGGGCTGGCATTTGGCAACCATTTGTGTTGCTGTGTAAACGCTGTATTCCAAACATTCCTGTATGAATGCACACAGAACGTGGGATGGGGGTCTGGCTCAATGTGTCCCATTGTGTGGCAAAGCCACAGAGCATGCGGTTACTGGCTGCCACTCATTGTGACAGGGTTTATGTATCTGCACCACCACCAATCTCTGCCTGTCTCCTAGTAAAAAACTGAAGCATCCAAAAATAAGGCACCTTCAAAGTGGCAAACCACTGTTAGTGTTTCATCAGCTAACCTGTTTGTATGCTATTTTTGGAAGCACATAATTTTTCAACAAAGCATGATCTCGTACATTTCTCGCCCCAATATTGCAATCGGCTTACATCATCGTCCTAAAAAGGAGAGAGAGCTGTTGGCCCCCCTTATAAACAGCCTGCCCATGGACACAGCACAACAGCGGAGGGGGGGTGTCTATGCGCATTAGAGTCAGAGGCCATCAGTGAGGGGAACGAAGATTATGTATGACGGGACACGGGGCATCACAACAGGCCGGCAGGCCCTGACCTGACACCCCAGAAACACAGCAGTCCAGAAAACAGCATGCCATCTTACTGAGCTTCCCCTGGCCAGCAATATATGATGACATTGTGGGTTCACCCCAGTTCATTTACATAAAATCCATCTTTTAAAATGTGTTGAATTATTTATCTGTTTTTTTTTCTTTAATTTTTTAAGTCATAGAATATTTATGAAGAAGAGCCTAGAAGTTGTGAAGGTCATACATCTTATATAAAATATCACTTCTACTTTAAGTAAAGATGGCAAAAGTTGGACATTTTTACATTTGAGATGTTCAACACTGAAAAACTTTTTAGTCTTAAACTTTTCTGTAATGTCACAACTATCATGTATCAGTTATAATAATGAAATAATACAAGTTCTATTTGCTTAAGTAGAGTGTTAAATGTTTATTTTCTGTCATATAAGGTCTATATTTAGAACATTTTGAGGGATGTAAACTGAAAAACGGCACTTACGTATTTCTTGTTTTACATTTTAAATTTCTATAGCTTCCAAGAATCCAAAAAACAGCCACATATTGATAATTAATGTTAAGATGGCTGTTTTAACATTAAGTTTGATTTAATTGCCTCTTGTAACAGTTATGAAATATTCTGGTAACAAGCAGGAAATGTTTATGGCCCAATGACATGACCACACTGAAATGATACAGTATCTGCTGAAAAAGGTCACATATATCATATTTGTTTGTCCTACACTGGTCATTACTGGTTTGTTACTAGTCTGACATCTAGTCATCTAGTCTAGCACCATCTATCAGCTTATTTCTGACTGCAGTTTGGACTAGTTAGAAGTCATATAAAACAGTTACCTTCAGAAGCTTAACAAATAGAACAGTTAAAATTAAGCTACTGTAATTTATCCAGATTTTAATGGCAAATTTAAATGCTAATAATTAGAACTGTTTTAAAATGAATCACTTTTTAATATTTGCAAAAAATGTATGTATTTTTGCAAATGACCACCGATCAATACAAGTCCAAAATAATATTAAAATAATATTAATAATGTTGCGTTAAATAGTATTCCACCAAGGACAATAACTACTGTATAGTACATCTGAATATAAATGAATAGCAGAGTTTGTACCAAAATTAGTGATAAAGGCACAGAGAATCAATTTTACAACATTTTTTTTATGCGATGAATGATTTAAGCATCAACGATAAGCTCTAGGTGTTTTTACTCTATATTGATCTAAGTGCCAATTACACAGTAGAAATGTGCAACAATGGGAATCTAAAAGTGTGTTGATATGTAATTTTCGGCCACCAAGATGTAGAGATTTGAGATTACATACATTCGATATGTATCAAATTTTTGGTCGAAAATGTAATGCCATTTAATAGACCCTCTAATTTTTGTGGCTTAAGTCATTGTTGGGTACTTTTTAAAATCTGGAAGCATCAACAACTTATATCGAAATATATATTGTTATCATTCAATATGGAAAATAATTATCGAGATTGCATTTTTGCATTATTGTCCAGCCCTAAGATTTCTTGTGTTAAGATATCTAATAATATTTGTATAAATGCATTTAGGTGAGACAATTCTAGAAGGTAAAAAAGATTCTGATTACAACATTTGAGATGTTATGTGATGAAATCAGTGCATTGGTTCGTTTAGTTAGCCACATCATATATTAAGGAAAGGTTACATGAGATTTTTGTTCCACACTGAGGTATTTATTAGTTAAATGTGTTTCAGTCATATTGTATTCACACATCTTCTTATACACTCAAAAAATATATTTTTGCTGCTTGTTCAGCCTACTTATAAAAATGAGCTTAAATAACACAATTCTTTAGTTGTTTACGTACAACTTAATTGCTTTATGCTAAATCCACTTAAAGTTAAGTTAACTTAATCTATTTGTGTTGAGACAACCTTAATGACTTATGTGGAACCCTGCATTATTTACAATGTTGAATAAAGAAAAAAATCTGAACTCAGCAGTTTTTTGCATCTTGACGTGTCCTTTTAGCACACGTTTTTATGTGAAATCTCGAAATTTGCATGGAAACAAATAACTAATGCAAAAGTAGCTGACAGCCAATCCGAGTTTGAGCATTTAAAGTGCATACAACTAATCTTTATATTGTTATTGTACAATTACCATTATCAAGGGGCATTAAAGAGAAAGTTCACCACAAAATAACAATTCTGCCATCATTTACTCATGCACCAATTGTTTGTCCAAATCTGTTTGGGTTTCTTTCTTCTGTTGAACACAAAACAAGATATTTTGGAGAATGTTGGACAAAACAGCCATTGACATCTATAGTACTTCTTACTATGAATGTCAAACGGCTGCTTTTTTCCAACATTCTCCAAAATATCTTATGTGTTTAACAGAAGAAAGAAATTCAAAGTTTAGAGCCACTTGAATGTGCGCAAATGGTGAATTTTCTCATTTTTGGGTGAACTATCCTCTTAAGAGACTGTATATCATTTGCACAAGCTAATGTTTGGTAGGATACATTTTAATGCATTTCCTGTGATCATTTACATGATGAAGCACAATCACACACACTATGATGTCAGACAAATGAAAACATTTACAGAATGACAATGACATTGTACCATCAATCACTGTTACATTTGATCCTCTCATTGTTTTTAGAGGTGTATTGATCTATAAACATTTTAGTCTAAGTTTAATAAAACCTAATCCTGCCTCACCCTACAAGCAAAAATAATAAAATAAACAAGAATACAGGCTCATGAGGGACACCTCCTTGTCCTTCACACATGGTTTAACTGAATAAACAGTACTGTGACATTTGTTGATGCTCTGTATGCACTGCAAACAAACCTAGTCATAGTGCAATAGAAATAACGTGCATTAAAGATTTAGGGGAGGGGGGGTGTGGTCAGACTATCCATCTACAATCCAACAATGCAGAAGATCAAACGAGAAAACGTGGTCACGAGAGACTAGCTCTGTTTCATAGAAAGACGACTGACAAATCTCCCACGACCAAAACGCATCCACACATGACCCTCAAAGCGTCCTTTTCGGATCGTGTACTCCATTTCAATCGCATTTCACGAAATGACGCATGTGCATGAGGATGTGGATGGAAGAGGTGCACTGCAGAGAGCCGAGCACGCGATGCTCACAGGCATCAAACGCAAGGATGGAGGAGAACAATGCGATGCGACGCGCCCATTGTAATAATCCACATTATGATTGTTTATTATAAGAGGCGCGTTTTGGTTTGTCGCGTCGCTCGTTTGCGGTTTATTTTAAATCGTCTTTTTAAAAGAACCTTGTAAGGAGTCACCATCACACAACGTTATCACAATAAGTTATGTAACTGTAGTACTTTTCAAGAGATGTCTGCTGCGGAAGACACCTGTCCAGAGCATCAAAGCTGCGGCAGTGCCTAAACAAAGAAATCAAGGCAGGTCGACATATTTGTGAACGTTTGGGAACGAGAGAGCGATGATGAGTCACCCTGTATTTACATCGCATCCTCCTCTCGCGTGGCGGGACTGCGACTGTATCAAAATTCACGGTTTGTTAGCTATCAATTTTTGTCCTCGTTACGCTTAGGCTTTAGTCCTGCACACGGTTTGATGGTATTGGCTTGTAGTGAAGTGGTGAAATGTGAAGGCTAATGACAATGTCAAAGCGCACTTACCCGTTGTTGTTGTTTTTAAAATTGAGTGCGCTGTAGTGTTGGCCGATGTGCACACTGTCAGATCCGCCCTCTCGTACAGTTCGCCTCTGTCAGAGCGGGGCGACTCCCCGCCCCGCGTACAGCTCGGCCAATCAAAATGCAGGACAACTGCGCTCGTTCTCTTTTTCTTGTCACAGCAGCACTGCTGCTCCTGGACAGAGGTTTTCATCTTTTAAATGCCACAGACCCCTGGTTATAATCCTACTGTGAGGGACAACCATTCTAAAATGAACTAGCTCCTTTGTATAAAAGCATGCTTTATACTGTAATTAATTATTAGATTATTATAGATAAATCTATAATATTATTTTAGAAATATTAAGTTATTTGGACTGCAGTTTTTATTAATGTTTTACTTGTTTTAAGCAAATATGTATTATTCATTTTATTATATATTTCATTTTATAATTTTTTAAAATATAATTATTTTCTCAGTACTGGGTTGCGGCTGGAAGGGCATCCGCTGAGTAAAACATATGCTGGATAAGTTGGCGGTTCATTCCCCTGTGCCCACTCCTGATGAATAAAGGGACTATGCCAAATGAATTAATAAACTTCGATTTATTTTTGTTATCTATAATATATATGTATATATATATTAATTGTATGATGCAATTTATACTATAAAAAATGTATATCATAGGTCTAAAACTTTGTTATGAAATACATGTTTCTATTTATTTTGTAACTTTAATTTTAAAAATTTTGACTTTTTTTTTGTAATTCTACAGGCCCCATAGTATAAGGGACCACCATTCTAAAATGTAATAGTCATCTTTATTTGTTGAAGACTAATCATTTATTCATTTTCTTTTCGGCGTAGTCTCTTAAATAATCAGGGATCAATGAACCTCCAACTTATCCAGCATATGTTTTACGCAGCGGATGCCCTGCCAACCACAACCCAATACTTGGAAACACCCCCAAACACCTGCATTCACACACACATACACTTTGACCAATTTAGCTTCTTCAATTCACCTGTACCGCATGTCTTTGGACTGTGGGGGAAACCGGAACACCTGGAGGAAACCCAGGCGAAGACAGGGAGAACATGCAAACTACACACAGAAATGCCAACTGACCCAGTCGGGGCCCAAACCAGCGAACTTCTTTCTGTGAGGCGATCGTGCTACCCACTAATATGTGTTTTTTGAATTTATTTTGTGTGAGAGTATTGATGGACAACTAATGGAACGTGATGCTGATGGCAAATGACCTGACAGGGAGTTTCACCAATCGATACTTCAACAACTGTGCTCTGATTTGGGCATCAGACCACTTGGCATTGTATCAAGGAAAATCAGACTGTTTGATATGAGATGTGATACCCTTGTAGTTTACTGTCCTTTATGCTGAAAAATTATGTAAATTTTCCCTGATTGTAACCTCATACATGTATGCACTCTTACAAAAATAGACTGAGGGTGTAAAAGAGTGTCAGGTGTTGTGGAAGAACACAGTTCCTCTATTGTGTTGTTAGTCCGGTCCTGGAACATGATTAAGGAGCAGAGTTGAGGCCCTAATATAAAAATATAACAATAATAGGCTTTATTTTTAAGTGGGTGTGTCTCTTTCTGCTGGTTTCCCATTTCACTGAACCTTTCTTTCAGGATCATCGCTTGAATAAACAGTCCAGTATATTGTACTTTCTACTGTATGCAGTACACTATATTGCTCCTAAAGACACATTCAGAGGTTGAACAGCATTCATGATATGCTTCTATATTTGGAGTTTTCAAGCTTTAGGAGGGCCTTTTCCTGTTTGCCGAAGCGGGAAGGGTTGGTCTATATTTTGGCTGCAGTATTATATCCTATTGCAATTTATTCAGCATGATTTGTGTATACACATACTCAAAGTTGTTTGATCCTAAAAATACATATAAAGGATAGTTCAGTTTATGTTTAAAAAGCAGAATGATTCATAATACCCCCAATGTCCCAAAACCCACGCCTGCATCTTGGCCCCTTTGTAGGTGAATGCACATGACAGGAAGTGTGCAAGACTGTATCTGGTCCAAAATTTTTCAAAGCTCAGTGTCATTAATGCACAATAAATCCACATTTAAGAGTTCACACTAAGATGATGATTGATTCTAAAGCAAGTTTGGCATGCTTTCCTGGGTGGGAGCCCTGAGTTCATAAAATTCTCTAACCCAGGATTCCCTCCTATTTGCAGGGCACGAGGGGAGTTTGAGCTTAGGTAGGTCTTGAGAACTCCTCTGTTTATTTAGGGCTGATGACAGATTATGTATTGATATGAAGAGATATACTGCTGGTTAAATGCTCAAATATAGTGCTAATCTTGATTGATCAATTAAGTGCTAACCACTAGACTGCCGTGCCACCCTATATAGGGAAAGGTGGAGTAGGGATGGAAGGGGGATTCTTCAAGGCGAAGGTAATTGAAGTAAGAAATTCTGGTTATTTATAGTGAGTTAGGAATCATCTGATTGGTGAATAATGTGTTAGTTAATGCGGGACCAGCTGTGATCAATCATAAGCACGTGACCCTCTTGAAATTAGTTTATAATGTAAATAAACTTCACTTAACCTCTAAATGGCAAAGCATGTGCAATTGCAGTCTCGCATACTCCAAATTCGTCCAAACTAAATTTTTTCCAAGCATTTCCACAGAACACACATACTTCCTTAAAACCAAAATATTGAGCAGGTGTCCCATTCTCTGTTTATACCAGTTATAGCAAGAGTACTATTTGAAGCTGATATCCCCTCTGTGTGCATTTCTACTTAGCCCCCATTGAAATCCAATCATTAATGGCAAACTAAAACAGAAGTGGTCCACTGTCCTTTTAACTCTTCAGTTTAGTTTAGCTCCATAATAAACACACCTCTCTGTAATTCTCAAGCAATCCTGAAGACGGTTATATTTCCCAGGTGTGTGCGATTATGGATGAAACTAAGCCAAGGATAGTGGCCCTACAGTAAACTTTTTTTCTGGTGAGGTCAAGTCATGTCAGATAAATCCTATTCACAAGCTGCATGGACATGAAAGCTCCATAAAGTTGTTATCAGGAGTGGGAAACTCAATTTTTTTTTAAAGGTGCAGTAGGTAAGTTTGACACCTAGTGGTACTAGGTATTGCATTCCTGGATCAAAACAAATGCAAGCACAGGTTGCAAGATTGAGGACGAACAGAAGCAAGTCTGACGGTCGAGCTTAAATGTTGATTTAAATAAATACATCTAAATAAAAGTAATGGCACACGATAGAAGGAATATTTTCTATATTAAAAGGAGTTTTGTCTAAACCAACATCTCGAATTGATATTTTAGAAACAGCTTCTATTTCTTGCAGCTTAACAACATAAAACTGACAATGATCACCTCAGGTACACCTCATGTGCTTAATTCAGTGTTAAATGGTAAAAATGTGAGTTTAAATGTCATTTTACATGACATTTCGTTACCTTGGAATTATAAGGTTTTATCTGCGTTCTGAATGATTTTGAGATATTGAGCTTCAAAGTTTTTGCATTCCATAGCAAACAGTATCTGTGTAACATTTATTTTTATAAAAAGTCTTAAAATGTAAACAACTTATAAAAACATCCCATAATGTAAAAACGTTGTCATTTAGTAAGAATCAATAACTCCATTTTGACAAAAATAGAACCTTATAATTCTAAGGTGACGACTTATTGCCATACTTCTAAAAGTAGCAGCAGTTCACCTCAGATCTTGAAAATAAAATAAACCATCTGAAATTGAACTTTAGACCTGTGACTCAGAGGAAGCCAACACATATGAGTAATTCAGCATGTACATTTAATAATGTTAAAGAGGTTTATAATATATTAATTACATCGTGTTTCGTCCGCTTATCACTGCAAATCATGTCACGTAGCGTGTTGTTAGGACACAGGGTTACAATGTAACCACCTCACCTAATATTTGCTGTCTTAATATTTATATTTTTTGCAAATTAATAACCTCATGTGGAACTCCGAATCTGTGTCTCATTTTGGAGTCTGCTTTCGAGATTGCATTTCAGAATGAATGAATGAAATATGTGGTTTTTCAACATGGCAACCCGGGGTGCTGAAATATAATTGGCTAAAGTGGCATTGGGCGGGTTAAAAGAAAACAAAACAAAGACAGCGTGTAACTCGTGTTTTCAAAGCAGAATATCTTCAGCATTGTTTTTCAGATAAACAAGAATGTTCACTTAGCATGTTTCTTAAATATCTGCAAACATATTATGGTATTTTTATACTTTAGAAGAGTCAAAAACTTACATACAGCATCTTTAAGTCGCCCCATGTTTAACAGTTAGGGCCATGTCAGTAAGAAATGTGGCAGAATCACTGATTTACAGAAGTCAACATTTGAAGTGGATCAAAAACATTTTTCTAAATTGTCCTAAGAAAGGGTGTTGTTCAATAGCTTCAGGATAACTTTGATAAAAGGTTTTGATCCACTTCAAATGTTGACTGTATACCATATTATGACTTATTATGTGTAGATCATAGGTGGAATTTATGGATGCAAGTCAGCTAATGTGGTTTGACATTGATAAAACATTTCTGATGTAAATTCTTTGCAATTCAATTCAAGCAGAGTTATCTGTTGTTTTTCAATAGGTAAAACACAGTCTTGTGCCGACAAAAGTAATTTGAGCAAACTTGATGACATTATGACTTGTCAACTTTTAAGGAATTTTTCAGCAGGACTTTAATGAAGCATTCCTCTGAGTTCACACATTCGTGTGAAGGATCGAAAGATCACAAAGGGTTAGGGTGCCATTTGGGAGTGTGCCACTATCTCTAATACTGCTTCAAAGTAGTATTTGGCCCAATCCCAAATGGCACCCTAAACCTTTATGGTCTCTCTTGTTATGGAGTCCAGACTTGCGTGACGTACTGCTGATTGACTGTTGGGGAGAAGTCTGGCTTGAAGTTCACCTCAGTGCACTCTTGACTGATGAAGTATTCGTTGAGGTAACACAACAGACACAAAGGGGACACTCACACTTCTGAAAACTGAAATGATGTATGGGAAACCTTGCTGACTTGATGAACATTTACACACAGTGATTACAATAAGACTGTAAGTCCACATGCAGTGTGATGTTTGTAATTGGGCCTGAGGTGAGCTCATCTGTTTAAAGGTAGAATCACTGATGCCTTGTGGAGTTTGTTTTTGTGTGCTCTACATTGTCCATGCAAGACTCACTACAATATGATGTTGTTAAAGCTGCTGTGTTGAAAGCGTATAAATTAGTGCCAGAGGCATATAGGGCATATAAGCAGAGATTTAGGGGCCATACAAAAAAGCTCAACAAACCTTTTTGGAATTTGCTCGCGATTAAAAAAAAAAAAAAAAAACATGCTAGAAAAATGTGCACTGCATCTGAGGTCACGACTTTTGGTCTGCAAGAATAAATTTTGAAAAATGGTTTGCCAGACAATATGGTTTTATATTCGATTGACAGAACGAGTTTGAATGTGGCAGACCTGAACCACAAGCTTATGTCAAAAGTTTAGCAGTTTGCTGCGTTGCAAAGTTTAAGCTTGGTGAACTCTGACTTGTGAAATCGCATCACATGACCGTGAGACCAATCAAAGATTAAAATATGACCTCTCTTTACAGAAATGTAAAATATGGAGCAATCACTCGCTTTTTTAAAGTCTATCATCTAGTTTAATCCCGCCCCTTTTCACAGTGCCGTACGACAGAATTTCTTATGTTCAAAGTCTAGTGCAGAAATGCCCAAACAAGGGCCTGAATCAGATTTTTAAAAATGTAAATACTGTCACTGGAGAGATGAAAGACTACGTTCTATGCAGAAGACGTCGACAAGCAAATCAAGCCAAAAACCAGTGTCATTTTTTTATATATTAGATTGTTTTGTTTTTACTGTAATAAGTTATAAATTATAACTTATTATAAAATATAAAAATATATGTATTAGTTCATATAAAGGTTTTCTAGTCATTTTTAAACAATATTGAATAAATTAGGAAATTACCCATGGTAAATTACCTTACCTATATTTACCTTCGGCCCACTGGCCTCAATCAAGTTTGGTTTTTGGCCCTTCATAAGAAAAAGTTTGGGCACCCCTGCTCTAGTGTGACTTTGGCATGACACACATCAGAGGCAGATATAAAACATATACAACAAATCAGCAAGTGTTACACACTACTTTGTAAATAGCATGACTTTTTTCATATAATTATAAAAAAACAACAACATTTTTTGTTGACTTTTTGTTGACTTTGTTGGTATTAGTAGAGAAATAACAGAATATTAATGGAACAGTACACTAACATTATTAGTACTCTAAGCTGGCAAAACAATTGAATAAAATAGACAGATATTCAGTCTAAATGTTAATATTATGACTGTTACCCTGTATGTGGATTAGGTTATATCTAGCTGAATGGTTTTATGAATACCTTAGCCATGAGCCAGAAGTTGCATATGTAGAGCTAGTAAAGTGAGAAAGCAAATGAATCAAATTTAATCACATGGCATACATACTTGAAGCCTTCATACACACTAGAACACCAAATACAGGAAACACAAGATGACAACATCACAAGTGTGGGTATTAGGACATTCTTCAATTTCCTGTTTTACAGCATTGAAAATAAATAAATAACTTCTTTAGGACTCAACAGAAATACAAGGAAATGAAGGCAATTCTATTTCATTCAGTCATGATAGTTGCATTTTATAAACCTAAATATACTTATAACATATGTGAATTTATTTATTTGTTGTGATTATAAGTTCATAGAAGATAAAATCTGCACAATAATCAATTTACAGTAAGCTAACAATAAATATTCCTACTCAGAATTGCAATAAATTACATTGTTATAATACATTTGACCATTCCAAGCTAAATTCTTGTCTATACGTACCACATTCCCTATAAAGATCTCTCTCAGCACATTTATAGTATAAATTACAACTGGGTGTATTTGGCTTAAACCAGCTGCATTTGATTATATATGTATTCTATATGTATATTTTAACACTAATTCCACTAGTGATATGGATTATGATCAAAATGGATTTACATTTAACACATTTGACCCGCTGGCCAAACCGATGATTACACATTTAGAGTGATAACAAATTCCCAAGGAAAAAACCTTGAAGTGCATGGTCTTAAATATATGTTCCCATGCTTGCATTTTTGTAAGTTACAGGCGAGTTGTTCAGCAGGATTTCCCAGTGTTCCCTGGATTCACTCTCTCTGAGGTATTTTAGCTACTAGAGATGAGCTTGGGGATCATCCACCTGAGATAAAAGCCCCTTTCACACAGTTATACAGAAAAACTTCCGGAGCGACTTTATAATACACTGTTTACATGTTTCGAAATTTTTCCAGAAAAGACCGTTCACACATTAATTTCAAAATATCGGTAAATTCTGACATCATTAGCCGGAAATGACCTCTAAACGACTGCACTTGTATTTGCAAACATAATAGAGGTCAGGCTTTTGTTGATGGTTTCACTTTTATTTAAAGCTTTAGCATTCATGCAGCCGCTTTTGTCCCAGAGACATCCAATGGCAGAAACGCTAACTGCGGCTAAATGTTTACACATTACAAATTCTGTGGATGGATAAGTACCCAGGTAGCAAATAATTCTGGCCCAAATTTGGCATAAAGCTGGCAGAGCAGGCATTCATCTGGCAGTGGCATACAGCATGTGGGCCAAACATGGCCCAGGTTTTTGTAGAGGTGACACACAAGACTTAAACCAGATGTGAAATGCAGTACTTGGGCCAGTGGTAAAAATTTATACGTGGGCCATTCTTGACACACTTTTTAAATATATTATATTGTGTTTGAGTAAAGAAAAATTCTACCAATCAGGTCACTTTGAGAAAAAACAAGACCATCTAGCAAAATGCTTGGGTTTATTAAATTCATTGCAGTCGTGACACACCAACATATCTGGCCCAGTTCAGAGACAGTTATAGGTTATTAACTTGGCTGAGACTTGGACCAGATATGGTCCATGTTTGGCTCTTATATGGAAGTATCTTGTATTGGCCAAGAAAAAGCTGATTGTGTGGGTCAGATCTAGGCCAGAGAAATTTTGCTATGTGGGTATTGTGAACAATTTTGATGTAAACATATGGAGCGCCACGCAGCTGAACACAGGGCTTGCAGGTAAACTCGCAAAGGTTTATCATAAACATTTAATCGATAATTTTTTTTCCACAGTTAGCATTTTTAATGAACATAGAACCGTATCTGACTAACAACTAGCATCAAAATGTATCTGGAAAAATTGTCAAAGGCTTTTGTTTTCATTCAACAGTGCGGATGTGAATGTGTCTGAATTAACTGATTGGCTGGAGTAGATTTCTCATGATTGCAATTTTCCTTTTGCGTTCACACAGCACAGCGTAACCAGTAATGTTACAACTTCTCAGTCTGGAAAATTTGCCGGAACGAATTTACAGGTATTTTCAAAAAGGGCTTGTTCACACAAGATCTCTTTACGTTGACTACTTTGATTTACACATGATTACTGACAATTTTCTGAAAAAGTCTGTATGTATGAAAGGGGCTAAAGTTTCCAAATGATCATTTGAACTCTAATAAATCCTGCTCTGATTGGCCTTTCCAGTGTTTCAGTTATTAAAAAAAAATCTACAGTATAGGCTAATCAATTCAACACAAAACCACATTGTAAAAAAAAAGCTGATATGCTAATACAAATCATTACATTTACACCTCAAAACAATGAGAACACTTTCATAATGAGGCAGGTAAAAACAATGAATATTGTTAAACCAGCTAACACAAATGTACAAACCTACAGGGACAATAATGATGCATCCTTGACCGTTTTTCTGAGGTAATTATATATGATCCTGAATAGTCTTTTAAACACCATGCCAACATGTTGGTGGTCTTTGCATTGTTTTCCACTGAGATACCGAACAAGTTTGTCTTAAGAGCCAGGATCAGAGGGATGTCTTTTCTGCATTGAGCAATCATCTTCGACCTGATGTTTTACTGGCAGCGATTGGCGTCTTGAACACTCAGAGGTCTCCAAATGTAAACTCTGTACAGCTTGTGGTTGGCGAAGAGTTCCAATAGGCTCTGCATCCAAAAAGCTGTAATGAGCTTGATCAGCTATGGCTGTTTGTTGGAGATGGATGTGTGCTGTAGGATCACCAGTGGTGTTTGTGTGGTGGCTTACGCTACGTGACCATCTCCCCATATAAGCCCCAGAAGGATTCTCAGAGGGAGGCTGTGAGGAACAGTCCAGGAGCTGGAGCTCCATTGCACCTGACAGACTTTCACTGGCCTTAATAGGACTGTCAGCAAAGTCATGAGGATCAAGTATCTAGAAAAAAAAATCAAAGATGGTGTGTTCACAAAATTAAGTAGAGTTAACTTCAATGCACAATGTATAATATGTTCATTAAAATTTCCCGACTTATGTATTTCTATTATTTTGAAGAATGTTCAAATCTGAAAAAATAGGCTATTTAATAAAATAGTGACATGGACATTGTCCTGTGTCCCCATGCTATTGATATCACACACCCTCTATGTCCAGTTTGGTTTTATAGAAATCGGGGAAGCACCAAAACTTTTATTACAACACACAGAGCAGCATTACAGATTTCTAAAAAAATTTTATTAGTATGATAAAACAGTGCTGCTTCTTTACCACTAGATCACGACCTGAAAAAATGGTTGCATAATAAATGCATACTGTGTCACAGTCGTCTTGGATCAGCAATGGGTTATATGCAAAGCTAGTATTTTCAGCCAGAGATGAACTAACGATAAAAGCTTTATGTTACTATTTTCAGTTTCATAAGGTTTGTTTAACAGCACCAGTGTTGCAAAGTAACTCAATTATATGCAGTTAAATAGACTTCATTATCCATTTTGGTTGTTAAAGCATAAAAAGAGACGAAAGACCATTTAAACGCAGGTTCCGCCCTTAGCAGCCGGTTAGCGCAGAAGTTTCACTGAAAATACTGGGGTAAAATTAATTTCCATATTTTAATGACATGGCATGGAAAAATATGATGTAATGCAGTGCTTCTTGTTTGGTCTTATACCCACTTTAATTGTATCTTAGGCAGGCAGTGAAGATCGCTGTTTTTTTTAAGAAATCAGATTTTAAACACAGCGATTTTGAATGGGATGACAATAAACCAGAAGCCCTGGGGCTGGATGAAATTAAAAATATATTGCATACATAATACCCCATTGCTTCAGCACTTTTGTTGCGCATTGCCAGCTTTCAACTTTTCTTAGTTTTAAATATTTTATACTCTCATCCCAACAGGAGTCCCATGGGATGCAATGAAGATCACGCCTCCCATGATTCCACACTCAGTCATGGCTAGGGATGTAGCGATTCACAGTCGGTTGAAAATCGATTTAAATTTGTGATGATTCAAATCAGTAAAAATGTTGAATGAATTGCGATACATATTTTAAACAGAGAGGGCGCTGTGTTTAACTGGTGCTCTAGGCAAACGACGATCACGCCGCCCTCAACCCGAAAGTGACCGGTTCATGGAATGAAAGTTTGCGGTGTCGCGGACAAAAGTGAGGATCGGACATCACCCTCACTATTCTGCTGCTCTATGTGGCCGCCTTGATCACCTCTATGGAGATCAAAAATTTTTATTTGGATTTTTATTTTTTTTTAATTAATTTAATTAATTAAATAAATTTGTCTCAAAAAATTTTGTTTAAAAAATTGTGACTAAATCGTAAATTGTGAGATTAATAACGTGAATTGTATCGAATCTTGACTCGTACATCCATAGATGTAGATCAAATTGTTACATCCATATAGTCACGGCATTATCGAACTACACCTTTGTTTGTTGTTAATACATCCCCTAAATTGGTTAAAATTACATACCGTGCCTTAAAATTGACATAATTATTTACAATTTTTTAAAGTAAATCAAAAAGTAAGTTAAATCTGCTTAATTTTTATAAGCTATATAAAACTGGCATTGTTCTTTTAAAAGTTATTTAAATTAAGTTATTCGAAGTTTACTTTTCTATAATCTGTTTCAAGTACATTGTTCGCTCTTTTAGTTTTAATGAAACAATGTAGTATTTTCATTAGGACGTGCTTTTAAAGTGCTGCTTCACCTAAAAACATGTCTCAAACATGCCAATAGTATCTGGATGCAGCCTTTATGATGCAAGCTGAGACTGCATCTCTCAGAGATGCAATGTCAGACACAATGTAGTCAATTGAGCAAGTGACATCACTGACTGGTAGGGTTAGGGGTGGGGTTAGGTGAGGCCATTCAAAAGCATTATATGTAGCTCAGATTGCATCTGCACCAAGTCTGCAGCCAGACCGCTCTCAAAACATGTTGAGTATTTACTTATAATAAATAAGAACTGTGACATCTACTGTGTTCTACTGCATATGGCGTGAATGTCATCTTGTGGGTTGTTCAACCAACGATTACTGCTACTTTCCAAGAATAAACATCAAATTTATCCCAATGGGGATTTAGTTAATACTGCAGATCTTTGTTTCGCTGTAATCAATGTGATTACCACTTTTCGATTCAAATAAAGCTGACTTAGGTTTTATTCATTCATTCTCTTTTTGGCTTAGTCCTTTTTTTAATCTCGGGTCACTACAGTGGAATCAACCGCCAACTTATACAGCATATGTTTTACGCAGCGGATGCCCTTCCAACTGCAACCCATCCCTGGGAAACATCACCTCAAATTAAATTAAATCAAATCAAATCAAATCACTTTTATTGTCACATCATCAGCAGCATGTGTGTTATGATGAGTGAAAAGCTGGCTCCAGACAGTGCAAATTACAGACAGTGCAAAATACAACAACATACAACAGCATACTCCCCAAAAAACAGTTTGACAATGTAAAATTGGCAATGTAGACAGCCATATGTACAATGAATGGGTGTACACATAGTTGTAGGCAGTAATGTTTTAAGTATGAAAAGCATTAAGCATCCACACACACTCACTTACACTCTTACACTGCAGACAATTTAGCCTACCCAATTCACCTGTACTGCATGTCTTTGGACTGTGCACCATGTGAACACAGGAAGAACATGCAAATTCCACACAGAAACGCCAACTGACCCAGCCGAGGCTTGAACCAGCGACCTTCTTGCTGTGAGGCAACAGCACTACCTACTGTACTGCACCACTGATTAGCTGACCTAAATTTTTGTTTGAATATTTTTAGTAAACATATAGAAATACCTCAGACAGGATAGATGGAGTCTCTGTTTCTAAAGGATTCACAGGCTGAACCAATTTCTGTCCAGGTTTGGGTGGAATTGGCGATGCTTCTGTAGGAGACGTCACTGAGCTGTAGGCTGGTGGAACCTGCACCATTTGCCTCTGAAGCAACTGCATTATGGCTCCAATGTCCTTTGACATGCGCTTCTCCAATCTTTCGAAAAACAAGACAACAAACACAACTCAAGCATAAAGAATACACCACACTGTAAAAATATGCTGGCTTCCACATAATTCCTTAATGTTGTTAATCATTTTTACAAATTTGAGTGCATTGAACATTAAACAATTAAGTTGCCCCTCTCCACAAAAAAATAATGTGTTGTCTTCAACTCTTTTTAAATAGGTAGTACACTGTAAAACATTCTGGTTGCCTTACATTTTTAGGCTGAATCAAACAAACCTTATGAGTCCACTGAACTTATATTATGTTAAACTGACTTAAAACAGCTTGCATAACTTATAAAATTAATTAACAACATGATTAACTTAGTTTAATAAGTTACAATGAACTAAAACATATGCTGTCATGACTAATTGTTCATATAATTGTTTACAGTGTAGAAGCAGCAAAAGTCATTTTTTTGAGTGTAGGAGAGCAAGAAAACAACAATAACTGTAGTTTGATCTCACCGGTAGAGCTGCCTGTGCATCATTTCCAGTCTGTTCTCTACCTCTGAGCATTGCCCATAGGTGACATTGTGCAGGACGGTGTTAGAGGGAACTGAAGATGAGGGGAAGGACATGCTGTGGCTGGGTACTTCCTGGTAGTGATGGCCACGGCTGCTGTCTCCCCAAAGGCTAAAGATGTTAGAAACCCCTGAAAAAGCTCCTGATGTAAAATGAGGTAATGTCAAAATGATGCATTTACTGCATAGATTAAAATTTAGCCACTGATTATACTCATTCAAGTCATTCTAACCTCAATAAATGTAACTTTATTTATAAATTTATTTATTTAAATTGCATAGTTCACCCAAAAATTAAATCATCATTTACTCATCCTACTTTTGCCAAACCTGTTTGAGTTTCTTTCTTCCATTAAACCCAATAGAAGATTTATTGAAAAAGGATGATAAAAATACAGCTTGACTGTTTTTTCTGCTTGTCAATGGCTGCTTTTTACAACATTCTTCAGAATATCTTGTGTTGTGATACACAGAAGAAAGAAATTTATTTAGAATTAACTAAGTGTAAGAAAATGCTGAAGAAATTAACAAAATCTCTGAGGTAGATTTCCAGTATCTTGTTGAATCTATGCTATGAAGAATTAAAGCAGTTCTAAAGGCAAAAGAGGGTTCAACCTGATACTAGTAAAGTGTACCTAATAAAGTGGCTGGTGAGTGCATCTTTTAATATATAATTTTATATAATTTATTTAGACTTTGAAGTATTAAGCACCACGAAAATATCATTAAAGTAACCTGAAATATTTAGGAAATACATTCTCAGTCCTGTAGGGCATTACAACAGTTTTTTTTTTTTTTTTTTTTTTTTTTTTAATTGGCTTACATTTAAGTGGATATACAACATAAATCATAACAGAAGTTCATGAAATAATCTTTTGATATATGTATATTTTGATACAAATCTGTTTGTAACTGTTAACAAGTCAGGCAAATGTTTTTGTCATAATAGCTAACAGTTAATTGGTTTGGAAGATTGTGACTATAAATATGACTTAAAACATTTTATTTATATAATATAATAATTTAATTATTTTACATTTTTTTAGTGGTGCTACTAATTCCTAGACAAAATTCAGCTTTTTGTGTATTTTTTAAAGGTTTAGTTCAATCATAAATGATAATCAATTACTCACCCTCATGCCATTATGAACCCATGAGGTGTTCATTTAATTAATTTATCTTCATTTAAACATAAAATTAAAAATATTTTAATTAAATTTTGAAGATTTTAAGAATCCAGATGCCTTAAGTGGCTTAACTGAAGTCTTCTAAAGAGACATGATTGCTTAATTTAGTTTAGGCTTTCATTCAGACTTTTATTTAAATTTGAATTAACACATATACATATGCAGCAAAGCAAATATGGTAAGAAAAAGCTCAAAGGCACATGTTTGACATGAGAATGCTTTGTAATTGTGCATCAGACAAGCTTGAGCTTCTCGTTTATAATGTTAAAAGAGCTCTTTGTATGTGCATTTATGGGTGAGTAAAACATTTGAGATTTACTCATCAAGATATTTAAAAGACTTGGATTTATTTTGTCAAAAACATCATTCATTCATTACAATATTTTAATTTGTCTTTTGAAAATAAAGAAAAATCCAATTGGTTTGCAACAACTTGATAGTGAGAATCAAAATATTTAGCCCATGTAAACGTTAATCTAGTTATGTCATTCCTTTTAATTCTTTCCCTTTTATTAGTTATTGAACTAATAAATCATAGAGGCGTTTGCTTTTTGCCGGGTAGTTACAGCAAGTTATAGGATCTAGTCCCCTGGCCTAGCTCCCCGAGAACTAATTTCTCCCTTGACCAATTTCCTAGGAACTGGAAACTGGAAGTGGATTAAGCTGGTCAAAAGTGACATCAAGTGCTGCACTGAACAAAATAAACAACTAGAGGATGTTGGATGCTGTGATCTAAACTGTAATATTATTGTGTGTCATGAGTATTTTGATATGGAAGTTAAACAAACGTATGTTTTTGTGAGCATTCTGAGTATTATTATCCTAAAACATATACACATTTATAACACAATGCTAGTGTTTGGTACGGCAACTATTCTCCCAATCAACATACAGATTCATCATTGTAGTTAATAATGTGCTGAATTAGACCCTATTCTAAAGTAGAAGCTAATTTAGTTAGTGATTAAAATATATCAAAAAGCTAATAATTTTCTACTATAGTTCTAGGAACTGTGTGAAAAGTTCCTTTGGTTTAAAAGCCCCAAAGTTTTGATTATAGATCTGTCAATTTTATCAAATTTTACCATCAGAACCAGAGTCCTACCTGAGAGTGCGTTGAACGAGTTACTGCTGTTGTGGTCCTTGTCCCTGTTAGCATTGCTAACGCTATTGATATGGCTCTGAGAGCAGTCCACCATCACAGAGGGTCGTTGAGTCTCTTCCTCTTCATCGCTGCTTGACTGTGAGGCAAAGATGTCTGAGCTGCGATGAGCAGTTTGTCTGTTCTCATGCTGTTTTCCTGAAGTCTGTGTTCTGAAAGTCATCCTGTTGAGCCTGTCTTCTGTTCTCTCTGTATCTGCTTTTAAGAGGAACTCCATTAGTAATGAAAACAGAGGATCTGGACAAATATATTAACTCTCACACACTGTTTACCTCGAGAGATGGAGTTTCTTTTAGATTGAAAGAACAACTTTGCTCTGCGTGTGTGATGGTCCAGACCGCCATTGTCCGAATCATCAGGGTCACTGCTCATTGACCCAGCTTTAGTGTTAGTCTGTTGAGGAGAATAACACAACTGCTCAAAATCCCACAATGTAAATGTGTCATAAAGCTAGAAAAACATGTAAGCTTACGTCTCTCAAATTAAAAGTGATTTCCAGATTGCTCCAAAAGTAGTCAGAGAACTCTGGATACATTTCCAAGACCTCCAGGACATCATCTCTGTGGATTTTGTGCAGGTCACAGTACGTAAGTGCTCTCACATCTGCACTTGACTTTCCAGGACGAGCATATGAGTTAATGGGCTCTCCAAATATATCATTCTTGCCTGAAAAATATAGACCAAAAGACATTTAATGCCTAAATTATGTCAGATAGTATGGACATGGTATGGAAGTTATTCAGGAATATGTTAGTATGTAACGTGTTATTGTGAATACAGCACTAGAAATGTGAAAATATTTGAAATCAACAGCAGGTGGCGCTGCATGCCATTAAAAAAACATGAACATGACAGAAAACAAAATAGCAAAATGTCCACAAGATGGAGCCACACAAGGAAAACTTGAGGTTTGAAACACCATTAAACGCATAATTGTAAATAAAAGAAGAGTTACACTTGATTTTAATGCCCATACTACCCATACAGAGATCTGAAATTTGGTAAATATATCAAAATTTTGATACTTTGTTATAAATATGAAACTTATATTTGACCCTGAACCCCATAAATAGTCATTTAGTATGAAGGTAAAAAAAAATAAGCATTCAATTAAGGGAAAAAAAATGTGAAAATTTTTAAGTATTAAAAAAGTCCGTCCCTGAGTACATCCCTCACAAATCTATCTTTTAAATTCATATATTTAATAGGTAGCTAGACAAAATATTCTATTTGTGCATATACATTAGTCAGTACTGAAGCCAATTATAGAGCTTATCAAACATAATAACTTACAATAATGGTCCACAAACTAGTACAACCAAAATTATATGTTATAGAAATTATTAATTTAATTATATTAAATACAAATTTAAAAAGAGAAAAAAATAAAAGGAGCAAAAAAAAAAAAAAATTAAACTTTTTGTTGAAATTTTGTAGGTTGTATTTTTTTGTAATACTTTGCTTGAAATTTATTGTAATATCTTTCAGTTTCTAAATATATTTGGTGACTAAAATATTATTTTAATAAATATATCTGTTTAATACATCTGTTTTGTTTAATACTCAATCATGCTGACCACTGTACATACACATTCATCGATAATGTTACATACGGTTGATATGATCATATATGCTATATCAGATTTCCATCTGAATATCTTTGCAACTACAGTACATACCAAACATCTCTGATTAGATTATTATTGGGTGGGGAGTGTCTGGGTAAGGGTTAGGGACATCAAAAAGTTTGAAAATGCCCTGACATCCAGATATAATTACAATAAAATCAACCCAAAATCTCCTTTACCTAAAATAGCCACAACTACATCTCCCTTTAAAATCTCGATGGAGCCCCGAGATATGAAGTATAGCGCTGAAATCACATCTCCAGCATGGACCAAGGTGTCTCCTGGAGGAGCGTGAGTAGTCTTAAACTTCATAGCCAGAGCACGCAAGCAGCCTTTGGAGGAACCCTTGAAAGCTTTACAGCTCTGCAGCAGTGTACGATTCAGATGCAAACAGATGTCAGCCTGTAAGCACTCAGGAAAACCCTTCAGCACCTGCAGAGAGATAAAACACAGGTTGATGTGATAAATGATGCTATGTTATGCTGAGTGTTTGCAAAAATAAGCAGAGTGGAATGAATAGCATCCGCCCAGGTGTTTGTGAATGTGGCTCTGTGACTCACAGCATTCATGTCAATGCCATTGGTGTAGGACCAAGCATGCTGGAAATACTCCTCTAGTCTTTGCCGAAGTGGGTTGGGGATCTGATGGAAACGGATAAACTCTCGAACCCGCAGCATCTGAGTGTGGTAACGCGCAGTGCCAGAGTATAGTCTCTGGATGATGGCGGACACATTTCCAAATATGCTGGCATACATTAGCGCTGTGAAGAAAACAACAACAAATACACCAAAGAAAATGTTTCATTTGACTCAAATTGATTAAAAATGAAGATATCAGGGGCATTTTTTAGAATTAAAGGTGCAGTGTGTAAGTTTGACACCCAGTGGTTGAACTAAGTATTGCATTCCTGGATCAAAACACAAGCAAGCACAGGTTGCCAGATTTAGGACCAATAGGAGTGTGCCTGACAATCAAGCCTAAAGGCTAATTTAAATCGTGTTCTAAATAAAAGCAGTGGTACATTAAATATTTTCCTTATTAAAAGGAGTTTTTTTCCTAATCAACACCTCAATTTGATATTTTAGAAAACAACAGAACTTATGACAACAATCACCTCAGGTACACCTCGTGCTTTATTCAGTGTTAAAGCCTAATAATGTGAGTTTAAATGACATTTTACATAACATTTATTGCCATACACCTCAGATCTTGAAAATAAAATAAACCGTTTGAAATTTTAATTTCAGAACTGTGACTCAACAACACATATCAAACAACACATATCAGTAATTCAGCATGTACATTTAATAATGTTAAAGAGGTTTGATATGTATTTATTAGATCATAAACCTTACCGCATCGTGTTTTTTCTGGTGCAAACAGACAAATTGCTTATCACTGCAAATCTCGTCACGTAGCATGTTGTTAGGACACGGGGTTAGAGTGTAACCAAATAATATTTATATTATTTGCTAATTAATAGCTTCATGTGGAACTCTGAATCTTCGTCTCAATTAGGTGTCTGCTACTGTCCACCAGAGGTCACATTTCGGTCACGGACGCATGCTTTAAGAGCCTTTATGACTGAATGAGTGAAAGTTGGCTAAACTGGCCTTGGGCGAGTTAAAAGAACCAAAACAAATAACAGACGTTCAGTCACTTTTTCCACATGATTTTACATGATCCACACATGATGGTGAATCATTCTGAAATTAATATTATTTATGAATTTTAGTTAATATGAGTCATAGCTCATGAGCTATGAGATTTCATGTATAATGTCTTTATATTTATTTATATTTGTATTTATTTATGTCAAAATATTACTGACAAGCAAGTAAACAAAGCCAAACAAAGTTTAACTTTTATATTATATTATATTATATTATATTATATTATATTATATTATATTATGTTATATTATATTATATTATATTATATTATATTATATTATATTATATTATATTAAATTATATTATATTATATTATATTATATTATATTATATTATATTATATTATATTATATTATATTATATTATATTATATTAACTACCTATCAAAAACATATACTTTTTCAACAAGGATACACTAAATTATATATAATAATAATGTAATTTAAAATTAATGCTGTTCTTCTGAGCATTCTAGTCATTCAATTTACTTAAAAATAGTTAACACAGCACAACATTTAAATGTTGAGCTCTAAATCAGCCTATTAGAATATTTTTGAAGGATCGTGTCTGTGAAACTGAATGTCAGACTATAATGTATATGAATAACTTCAATGTATTAATATAGAAACAGCTATTCTTTGTTCTGAAAGTATTTTATAATATTATTGTTCAACTGATAACTGTACAATCTCACTGACATCATTCTAGAATATGAATAAGCACTTAGCAGCACTAACCTCCGATGAGCATCACACAGATGGAGAAGATCTTCTCTGAGTTTGTGTTTGGGGAGACGTTTCCAAAGCCCACGCTGGTGAGGCTGCTGAAGGTGAAGTACAGGGCAGTGACATATTTATCTTTAATAGAGGGTCCTGATCCACGTACTGATGAATTATATGGCTTTCCCAGCTGATCACCCAAAGAATTAAGCCAACCGATTCGAGATGGGCCGCTTCTCTCCACGTTCCCAATCGCATACCAGATGCAGGCCAGCCAATGGGCGATCAGAGCAAAGGTACACATGAGCAGAAAGAGAACAGCAGCTCCATACTCAGAGTAGCGGTCAAGTTTGCGTGCCACACGCACCAATCGCAGCAACCGAGCTGTTTTCAGCAGGCCAATCAGAGTTGTGGATGTCGTGGTCTATTAACACATCAAAAAATTTAAAATTAAAAGGTTGTAAGTTGACCGGCAGCAGTTATTACAGTTGCTAGGGTGCATTTCTTTTATCACTTTTTCAAAACTGTTTCCAGAGTGGGCACAATAGCAGTCTATGTGGTCTAAAATGTGAACCATTTATCAATAACACTTAACAATAAAGGTACTTGAATAATGATGTATTAATATGTAATCTAAATCTTACTTTATTATGAACTAACAGTGATTTAAGTATTGTGCTGATCAAGAACAAATACAATAATGTATTAATCAACAATTTAGTTTAAGCTAAATGTAACCAACATAAGCTTTTAATGTATCTTTATGGCATACCTTTACTTGAAGGGGCACCTTATCATTAACTTCTTATCTGCTCATGAACTCCTGTGTTTAAACTGGTCATTATGCAGTAGACAGAATACTTTTCTATTGTTTATCAATGTAAACATTCTAGACAGTGAATAACTGTTAGGCTAAAATGAAAGTGTCAATATAGTAATTAACAAACATGTACTAACAAGTCGCCATTACTCACACATGAAGTCATGTGATTCATGTTGTAGTTAAAGTGATTTGATTAGCGCAAGCCATAACTCCATGTACTGGTAATGTGAAGTCTTACCAAACGTGATGTACTGGACTTAACAAATTTAATGTTGTATGTTTACGTTCTCATTTTAACCCTGTAGTTCAAAGTTCAAAATCTGACATAATACAATACTAAATTTAATAGTAGTTTGTTTCTACAGTGATATCATACTGAAATACATTTACTGACCACTTCATTAGGTGCACAATCAATTAAAATATATAGTCAACCAGTCACACAGCAGCAACTCATAGACATGGTTGAGACAACCAGCATCAGTTCAAGCTGAGCACCAGAGAGGGGGTGAAAGGGTTGTATTTACACCTGGGGCTAGATGCACCAGCAGAGCACTAGGTTTGATCTCAGTTTAAACGTAACTATGTTCTAACTAAATATTCATGGATGCTTCTGCTCATGAAAAATGGTAGAAAAAAGATGACAACAAGATTAGATTACACAGATGAGCTTGGGATTGAAAATGAGGAACTCACAGCGTTTTGGTTTAATATAGTTTAGCCAAATGTCACATTTTTTTAGTTTGTGGCTGATCAGTTCTGTGCTGTGCTGGAATAGGAGATTCACATAATGGATGCTGCAGCAAATGCATGATGCTCTCATGTCGGTATGGATGAAAATCTCAAAGGAATATTTCCAGCAACCATGATGAATAAAAGGTCCCCTGAAGTCCTTTCAATTAATGTGTTGACATACTCTCCAGATAGGACATGAAATGTCAAGCACTCCTTCCGTTTTTAAAATAATCAGAAGCATTTAGTTTGAATCACAACCACAGCCACTGAGCTTGGTAAAGCAGTTTATGAAATGTAATGACAGACTGTTAGTCCTGTGGAAGTTTACATGACATTAAAGGGACAGTTCATCCAAAAATGAACACTTACAGTTAATTTACTGACCCTCAGACCATTAAAGATATAAGTGAACTTAATCCTTAAAAAATCTTTAAAAAAAATATATATTTTTTTGCAGATTGCAAGTCAATGGTCACCTGTTTTCGAGGTGTGAAATAAATACATGTAAACAAATTCAAATCAATAAATGGCTACTAATGATAAACTGAAGTCTTATGAACAGATCTTGGTGTAAACACAAGTGTAGAGACTGTGAGCTTCTTGTCACTTGACGATGTCAGTTCAGACATGAGGTGAAGAGAGCGAGGATGTATGTTTTTGCCAAAACAGTTCTTACCTCTGATTGAAGTTTCTCTCACAGGCATGACTCCATTCTGATAAAGTTTCTCATTTCTTATTGTAAATGACGCTTCCTGTCACTTGATTCAATTTTTTACTCTGACCAATTGTTTCACATTATTTATATTTATTAACTTCATTTTTTCATTTTAACATGTTTATTTTTATTCTCAAAAATGGGCAACCATTGACTTGTATTGTTAAATCACCAACCACTAATTAAGATAAAAATCTTCTTTAATTTTCTAGTAAAGAAAAAGTTTGGTACTGCTTCAATGGCCTCATTGTGATAAATTAATTTATTCATTTTCTTTTCGGCTTAGTATCTTTATTAATCTGGGGTCGCCACAGCGGAATGAACCGCCAACTTATCCAGCATACGTTTTACGTAGCGGATGCCATTCCAGCTGCGACCCATTACTGGGAAACCCATATACACTTATTCTCACACATACACACACATTGGACAATTTGGCTTACCCAATTCTCCTGTACCGCATGTCTTTGGACTTGTGGGGGAAACCGGAGCACCCGGAGGAAACCCACGCAAACACGGGACACATGCAAACTCCACACAGAAATGCCAACTGACCCGGCCGAGGCTCGAACCAGCACCCTTGCTATGAGACGACAGCACTACCTACTTATAATTTACTGTAAATTCAAATTTTTGGATAAACTGTTTCATATATGACCACAGACTTCATCCACCCTATCAGAAAGCACATTTAAAGAGTATGTTTATCTTGAATCCCCTTTATAGTGCACAACAGTATGTGCCAGTTACTACAGTACATAGAAAATTGTAACTGTGAGAACAAGCAACTTATTTTAACTACAACTTCAGTGTAAATACAAAAGTTGTTCAGGATAACTATGAATTACAAAAAGTGACCAAAGTATTAAAGGGATAGTTCACCCAAAATGTATAATTCTATCCTGATTTCCTCACCCTTTGCTTGTTTCAAACCTTTATCAGTTTCTTTCTTCTGTTGAACACAAAAGAAGTTAGTCTGAAAAATGATAAAAACCTGTAACTATTGACTTCCATAGTATTTGTTTTTTTCTACTATGAAAGTCAATGGTTACAGGTTTCCAAGATTCTTCAAAATATATTCTTTTGTGTTCAACAGAATAAAGAAAAGGTTTGGAGCCACCTGAGTGTGAGTAAAAAGGAAGTAAATTATTATCTTTAGGTGAACCATCCCTTTAAGAAACGTGTTCTACAGTGATTGTTGAAAACTCTCTCACCTCTTCTTCAGAGCGGTAAATGAGCAAGTCGAAGGGAATGGCAGCAACCATGTCAATGAGGAACCAGCCTTTAAAATAGTGGACGGCGATCCGGCCGGGCTGACTGACCACTTCATCGTTACTGTTCACGTAGGTTGTACGAAAGTTAATCACAATGTCCACTACAAACATGATGTCTACAATGAGGTCCACCACATTGAGTGTACTGCAGGAGTATCCACAGCGCTGAATGACTTCTTCTTCCTCATCGCTAAGCAGGAACGCAGCCGAATAAGGAGTGAAGATGGCCGTGTAGATGACCAGCAGCAGGATAACCCAGTCCCAGACCGCCTTGAATGGGCTGTAGTGTAAGATAGTCCATTTGTGGATGCGGGGAGCCTGGAGCTTATACTCAGGAAGGACATCTGCACCCAGAGACAGAACCTGAGGAGGAAAAGACTTCACAATCAGAGGTACTGACAGAATTTTAGATGAGTTATGAGCGTTTAGATAGTGAAGTGCTTTATTCATCATGTGATCATCGTGATTGAAGTAAATGCTGCTGAACTTCTAAATAAAGAATCACTCAGACAGTAAAAGTTGTGTTTTTTATCTTTATTAAATACACAGCAGTACACAAATATCTTTAAATATAAAGAATTAAATGATTAAAATGTAAAAAAAAAAAAAAAGAGTATTTTGTCTACATAAATATAAAAACCTCCGACAATGCCTTCTTAACCAAAAGGGGCTTTGATGGAATCAATCTCTATTGGCGCCAGTTTATTCATGTCCATTTACATGTATTTAATATTATCAATATTTTTAGTAAAATTCATTATGTGCATATTTATATTTGTTTTTATTATTTTTGCTAGATTTGTTCACCTGTCAGGCTTAAGAGATGTACAATAAAGACCATGGGTGATAGAGGTTTTTCGTACCATGGGCCAAAGCTATGGAATGGTCTACCTGTCAGGATCAGGAATGCCGATTCTCTGTTTTAAGAAACTTCTTAAGACTCCCCTTTTTACCGTTCCTTTTAACTTGGATGGATTATTTTTTTCAATTTAATTATTGAATTTTAATGTTTGTATTTTTTGTTCGTGGTTTTTATAGTTTTTACTATTTGCCCTGTATGCCTTGTAGCGTGTGCACTGTCAATAAAATGTATTATTATTATCACAGTATGCATCACCATATGGGTCATAGGAATAGGAAGTGTGTTTGGATATAATTTATTGTCCATTTCCTGTAAAATTAGAACTGAATTTGTTTTGAAACAAATCTTTGTACTTGACCAACAAAATGACTAAATTAAATATGTAATGGATGTCTTGAGGCAAACATGTCCACCAACATTTCCAGAATTCATGGTTGAAAAGACGAGGCCAAATGGAAGAAGCTTTTTCAGTAGATGACCTTTAACTTTGCACCGATTGTCTTTAACCATTTTTCCGCTAAAGGTTTTCCGGTTTTCCATAATCAAATGCCATGATGAGACGCAACTGTCCCTTACAGGGAATGGGAGATGAGACTGGTTTGATGCATGTTATGTCCAAAACATACCCTTAATCATTAGGAGAATAAGCACAACCCTTAAAGACCATGTGCCTGGTGCACATACCATTTTTCTCGCCCTGAAAATAGCAAAAGTGGATTTGAGCTTACTATTAGTGCTTTTGTGCTGTGTGCTTTAGACTTTGTGCTTAGATAGTGCAAACATGGTGCATTAAAATTGAGCCCCATGTGGCTTTAGTGGTTTAAGGAGTCATAGGAAAAAAGCCTATACAGTTTTTGGGCCCACAAAAATGTTCTTTGAGCTTTGTATGATTACGATTGAACCACTGCCACAAGGAATGTTTGACAATGTCTTTGGTTCCTTTTCTGGAATTTGAACTTATTGGTCAGTTGATGTCTATGGAAGTGGAAGGAAGCTCTCAGATTTTATCTAAACTATTTTAATACGTTCTGAAGATGACCAAAGGTTTGAGGGGTCTGACACAACACAGAATTCAGAATTTTCATTTTTGGGTGAACTAATTCTTTAAAATTAGGCGTTAGCAAATTAAATTTAGCCAATTTATCGGCACCATAGCCCAGTGGTTAGTGTGCCAACATATAGCGCAACACCATTTAGATATCCCGAGTCCGAATCCCAGCTTGTGGACCTTTTCCAATCCTTCCCAATCTCTCTGTAACTTCACTTCTACTGTCCTGTCAAATATATGCAAAAAATATATGTTTTTTTGCCAATTTATAGCATGAGCACATTTCACAGCCTGTCCAGTTACACTAGAGCCCCATCCAATCTTTTCTGCCCATGTATTTAAAGAAACCATTACCAAAAGCTCGCTGCAGGACAGAAATATTATCATATGTTTCTGACAGGAGATGAGTGGGCTGTAACTCAGTGTGGGTGAAATAATGAAGCCGTGTTTAGTCTGAGATTCGCTGAATACACATCACTGCAGGGAGAACATTCATGCTTTTCTTTTGTAAACACACTCTGGGGCTGCAAACTTCAGCTCATTATTTCTTTCCAGGGCCCTAAAGAGGAGACCAGCGTTTAGTTTTTAATCTCAGAGCTCCAGTAAGAGAGTTTTACTCGTATAAGCAATCGTTACCATTAATTATTCTACTAAATATACAATACATGCATAAATGCAAACAACTACATAATATTTAAGCCATAATATTTGTAATAAAACAATAATATATATTTTGTGTGTGTGTGTGTGTGTGTGTATATAAAATCTATTTCTCTGTTTTTTTATTCTTCAAACTATTTTTGACATTTCCTTCAAAATTACAATGTGAATGTTGCACTTATGATGCATGAAATAACAAAAAGGTGTCATCTTTTCAGACATGTTTATATATTTATTATACAATACCAATGTTTTGCTTATGTGTCCATCTGATTTATTTTTCCTACATCTTCATCTTCCAAAGACAGGTGAAACATAATTAATTTATGTTAATCTAATTGTTCTCTTGCTCATTATGTACCATTAAGATGAAAAAAAGACATCTGCAGCTGCGACTCAAAAGCAATTGGGAGAAAAAACAGATCTTCTGGACTTAATTTGTTTATGGTAATTCAAGTCAGGCCATTTTCATAATCAAAAGACCTCGTACCGCTGACACTTGTCCTCACAGATACCGCCAGCACTAAACAGCTCATAAAATCAAAATCACAGTTAGCTTCCAGATTAATTATGTTTAATTCATGCCTCTATTTTGGTATCTGGGTTAAAAATCTTTGAAAAGCCTGGTGTAGTTTCCATCTATTACTCGCCTCAGCGCTCATTCATTAAGCCAAGGCACTGAGGTGAATAAGGTTTAAAAAATAACTAAAAAAGTTTTCAAAAATGCTTGTTAAACACCAATTGATTGATTATGTTAAGGTCTGTTAATGATTTGAGTATTACAAGTTTTTGAATGTTGTGTATAAATATAAATATATTTGTTTAAATTATTTGATGAAATATGCAGTAATTTTACTTGCAAGTAACAGGTAGCAAATCTGAACATTAGTAGTAGTGGTAAACTTTATTGTTTTTGACAGGAAACTTCTTATGGGCATCACCATATTGCTGCAGACATGCCATAAAAACAAACAATAAGAACAAAATAAAATGGTTACAATAATTATAATGCTAATTAAGATAAACTCTTGTTAAATAAACCCACTGAAATGTGTACAATGGTTTTCTCGTATCGGTTCAACCTTTACACTTAGGGACTCTATATCTCTTACCAGAGGGAAGTAGTTCATAATGTGAAAAAAAAAATAAAATAAAAAATCAGTTGAAACATTCAGAATCCTTTCCACCTGATTAGGAACACAAATCTCACAAACCTCATTTAATGCCCAACAATTTTCCATCCTGGCTTTAAGAAATGCATCAACTTAGATTATACTCTACAGATTACCAACCCACACTGTGATATCATACGTGACAATGCTTTCAAGAACAGCTTTATAAAACAACATCATGAGCTTCTTGTTAACTCCATAAAAATACCATCTCTGGTGTAAATGAGAACAAAGCCCCTCTATGTGTGTTTTCCATGTAAAAGAAATGTCAATATAAATGGCCAAGTACATATAGGTCTCTGACTGAGAATTAGGATGGTCATGTACAACCACTCAACGGTGGTCACCAATATACTTTGGGTCAAATACCATTTCTTCTGTTTTCTTAGTATTTAATGATCAAATTATAATTAAATTTTTATACTGTAAAATCAAATCTGTCAAATTTACTGTAAAGGCAGCTGTGCCAGAGATCTACAGTTAAAATACAGTACAAAGCATAAAAGAGATACCTGAATTTACAGTAAACTACCATATTTCATTAATTTGTACATATGTTGTGAAATACTAACATCTACATTGTACAGTATGTTTGTTACACAGACAAAAACACAACCAAAAGCAGGTGGGGAAGGGACAAGGCTCATCTCACATTAACACACATGGCACTATTAAAAAAGATTAAACTAAAAAAGGATATAGTCATTTAAGAAAGGGATAAAACAAAATATAATTAAAGTGTCATGCAGAGAATTCTGGGAAAGTCAGTATTTGGTTATTTACTCTATAGATTAAGGAAATTATTGTTAGACATGTAATAGATTTTTACTGTATCTTTTTTTATTTTTACCAATAGTTCTTAAATTTTTTTAAAGTCAAAGTGATTTGTGTATCTCTTTAATCACTCCGTTATACAGAAAAAACCTTTAGAATACAGATATGAATAAAACTGTGAAGTGTTATGCATTTAAAGTGCCCCTTGTAGTAGAAATTTATGACTTTAAAAATATGTATTGTATTTGAATTAATTAGACACAAACTGATAATGTGTCCCAAACAACAATAACACACACGCACACACACATAAAAGTGTCATTTGGATGCTTTCTTTCCATTAGATTGAAAAAAAATAAAAATACGGCCAAAGTAAATATTTCTAAATTGTTTCGTTCTGCAGTAAAATTAAAACAAAAAGTAAATAAAGTAAATAAAGTAAATATATATTTAACAATATTGTTTTTAATAAAGTAAAATAAAATAAAATAAACCTTCTCAAAATCTCAGAAAGTCTTTGTCCACTCCTACCTCTTTGCTCTCTTGGCGAATAATGCAACTGTTCCTGTCCCAAAAGCGGAGGCTCTTGGAGCCTTCTTTGCAGGGCATTTGTGCCTGAACTGAAGTCTGAGGCTGAACAGATGGAGCACAGGACTGGAGGAGCTTGTTCACTGATTTCAGCACCAGGGACACAATCATGATCCACTAGCAAAGCTCACGGCTCCAGTGTCAGATTTGCTGACTCCTCTATCATGTCTGCTGAAGGGTGAGTGATGGAAATGCTCACCTCACAATTCACCATTGTCTTCACTGATTTTTTGAGTTTTGCCTATATATTGGCAGTTTA